CAGCAGCTGCTAGCTGGAACCCCAGCTCTGAAGGCAGAGCCTCCTGAAGCACCAGCACAGAAGTAAGGACGGCGCCCTTTATGGTATTGCCACCCTTACTTCTGCGCTGTTGCCTGCAGAGCTGGGCCCTCAGTCAACAGCCGCCAGTCTCCAGCCGCCCAGCTCTGAAGGCAGTGCAGAAGTAAGGTTGGCAATACCATGACCCCTCTAAAATAACCTTGCGACCCCTCCCCCCCTTGCAACTGCCTTTTGGGTCAGGACCTCCACACACAAGACCAGATTTCACGGTCCAGGACACGTTTTTCATGGCTGTGAATTTGGGAGGGCCCTAATTATGAGCAAGTAGGCTCCTGTGTCGGGCTTGTGTTTCATATTTACTTCCTGATCCCTGGAAACCTTTGTTTCCCAAAACAAAGGTTACTCCATATGTAAGCACTTCCTCTAGGACAGGAGTGGGCAAACTACAGCCCAGGGGTTGCATCCGGCCCTTCAGATGTTTTAATCTGGCCCTCGAGCTCCTGCCAGCGAGCGGGGTCGGGGGATTGCTCTGTGCGACTTACGGAAGCAGCGACATGTTCACCCTCCGGCTCCTATGTGTATGGGCAGCCAGGGGGCTCCACACACTGCCCCCACCCCAAGCGTTGCCACCGCAGCTCCCAATGGCTAGCAAACAGGGCCAATGGAAGCTGCAGGGATGGCACCTGCATATGGGACAGTGCGCAGAGCCGCCTGGCTGTGCCTCCGTGTACGAGCTAGAGGAGGGACATGCTGCTGCTGCTGCTTCTGGGAGTTGCTTGAGGTAAGCGCTGCCCGGAGCCTGTACTCCTTACCCCCTCTCACCGTCCAAATCCATTGATCCCACCCTTCTGCACCACAGAGCCCGCACCCCCAGCCAGAGCCCACCCTCCCTCCTGCACCCCACCCCCAATTTCATGAGCATTCATGGCCCACCATACAATTTCCATGCGCAGATGTGGCCCTTGGGCCAAAAAGTTTGCCTATCCCTGCTCTAGGGAAACAATGGAAGAGCCATGCATGTTCCCCAGCTGAAATTTGCCTTAGTATGTTTTGGACCATTCAACAATGGGCTTCAGTTTAAGAAGATGAAGAATTTTCAGATTAATTTTAGCTGAGAGTCGTATTCTTATTGGTACTGATAAAAATTCTCTTATGTTATAGAGGAATGGCTGCTCGTTGGCACCAAACAAGGACACCTTCTTCTTTACAGGATCAGGAAGGATATAGGTGAGCTTGTACAAACAAAGCCAAGCTTTTGCGCAATATTATGCCAATGTATCATTCTCAACTCTTCAGTGACTCTAATACTGGTATCCTGGTACATTTAGTATACTAAACAGCAGACTGTCACCTATAGTTTATGAAAATGTTTATACGGGGCCACTGCAGTATGTACAGATCTTACTTTCCTTTCCTTTCCTTCTTTTCTGTTTACTGTCTTATAGAGTTTACCATCTGCTTTAAAATTACCCTTTCTCTCACGATTCCACCAAAGCTGATACTAATCTCTGAACTATAACGGTTTCCACATTTGTATTTACAGTAAATTAGTGTAATGTGCATGAATAAAATATCCACCATGCATAAACTCTAACAGAACCTAGTGAATAGATCAGATTGGCAATGTAGTAAAAGGGCAACTTAATTAAAACGCGAGGCCCACCATCTTGATCAATATACATAATAAAATTAAACCTGGTTCAGAATCTTAACATTCTAATCTAGACCAAAAAGTATTCCCCTCTCTGTCTTTTGAGGAAGCAGTCACAAGTGGCCTTAGTCCATTCTGGTGATGCCACAAAGAGCGCCTATTGTATTTAGAATCAGATATAAAATTACTCATGTTAAACAGATCTATATCTCAGCTATTTACCAGTTATAATGTGCAGAAAGCTATACTATTAAGTGTACCTAATTTAATAGCTCATTGGATTGCAAAGTAAAAAGATGTGGCACATCTGTCCCAAATTACACCTGCTCTCAGAAGGAAGCTATTTCTATTGTAGCCACTTGGATTACTAAACCCTAATTCCAGCTCATTTTTCCCAGCCTCCATAGGCAGTCTGTTTCAATAGATCATGCTGACTTGAGTTGCTAGTGTCTTTTGTCTCACTTGGTAAATTTCTCCCCCTTTTTGCATCAATACCAGGAGAGGTTACGTCATCAGAAAGTGGCTGTAAGTTTGTATCCATAAAACTTTTAAACCCTTGTAGTGAAGTATTTTATTCTTTGTCCATCTTGCAGTGATGTGCTTCCTGGAGATCTGAGTTGCTGGTATTTGGCTGGGGAAAAAAGGTGCTTTAGTGCTATCTTCATAGCTTGGGGTTTTTAAATATTTAATTAAATTATATTAGGATCTGAGATTACAAGGCAAGGATTTAGCTAATGATGGGACCTTCAGATTTGCTGACTTCATGAAGTTAAACCACGTTTTTGGACTCCCCAGCTAGATATCAATGACCACCTCAGATTCCCCAAACTGGTTTAAGAAAAAGGAAGCACACACTTCTTACAAGACATGCAAGCTTCTGGCATTAGCTGCTTAATTTGAAATCTGCTATAATTTTGTGGGATTTAGAGTAAAAGTTTATGCAGTAATAAATCTGAAGGCAACTGTGATTTTATGTCACTCGTTAATCTCTGCTTGGTAGGTTGCAACAGATTTGAAGTGACACTAGAGAAATCCAACAAGAACTTCTCAAAAAAGATTCAGCAGGTAGGAAATGGCAGTTGTTGACACTAGGGAAAATTGCTAGTGTTTTCACTAAGAGGGTGCAATGTGAAATACTTTAATCTGGAATCTCCAGAAGGCTTTTTTTTAACAGTAAACTTTGTTGGGAGTGGCACAGAGTAGCCTAACTGTGCGTTTGTCCACAGTCTCTTCCTACAGTAGGAAGGAACTTGGTTTGGTGGTTACAGCAGATGACTTGGAGTTAGGACTCCTAGGTTCTTTTCCTGACTCACTGAATCACTGTGACCTCCAGCAAATCATATATATTTGTACGATGGAGATAATACATTGCTGTCTGACCTGGTGAGAGAATTAATGAAGTAAAGCACTTGATCTCCTTAGATGAAACATGCTATTAAAGTGCAAATATTGTTTTGGCTATTAGAGGCTGGAATCTAGAATAGCTGTGTACTGACTTGCTGTCAGTTTTATTACCATTTTAATTTCAGTAGATGTGAGCACATTGAATGTGTCACTGCAGTAGAGCACCTTGCATTTTCATTGGAGAAGAACAATAGTTTTTAAGGAATCATTTACATCCTTTTATTGGTAAGGCACCAGAACATGGTTAAATCTTGTTAAAGGGATCTACGTTGTTAAGCTTTCTCACTAGGAAAGGATATACAGGTCTGTCTCATCTTACGCTGGGGTTACGTTCCGCAGTCACCGCCTAAAGCGAAAATCGCGTATAGTCAAAATTACATTGAGTGTAATGGCGGGCGGAATCGCCCGCACTACAGAAACAGTATTTAAATTGTTATTTTTCTCTTTTTTGGGGGTTTGTTTTTGCCGACCGCGTACAGCTGAAATCGCACATGTTAAATGCGCCTAAGATGCGACAGACCTGTAAACAATATAAGCTAGCTTTATCAGACATTTCATGAGTATAGGTGTGGGATTGTACAGTAGCTGTAGGAATGTTGCACAGAAAGTAACAGTAGCCCCATCTTCATTGCCTTATGTGGGTAAATAAAACTATTTGCATAGACTAATTAAATCTCTGTCCAAGTTGGAGGGGCAGGGGGCAGGGAAGAGTGTTTTGGCTTGTAGAGATGTTGCTTTAATACAATTCTCTTTTCAGATTCATGTTGTTTCCCAGTTTAAAATTCTGGTCAGTTTGTTAGGTAAGTGAAGAATATGTTTTAGTAGTATTCAATTTGTTCTTTTTTTGGTGCAATTACTTGGCTGAGCATGAACCCCGCTCTTCTCTACCCCCCCTCCCCCGCAGTACAGACATCTGTTTGTTGTACCAAGGAAAGTGAATAATTCACACTCTCACCTACTCTAAGGCTTATTCTTAAAACAGTTTGCCACCTTCTTGATTTGGGGAGGTCCTTCACACCTGCATGAGGGTCTAGTTGTTGAAAAGTCATTGGGTCTAGAATTCAGGCCTCTAATTTGCAGGGAAGTGTTATGCATTATAGGTTAAGAAGCAGCTGGGCTACTCTTAAGCCAGTAAAGACATCTGGGGAACAGACCACTAATATTCAAATAACTTATGCAAGAATTTTGAGTATTTTAAGTACTGTATGTTGGGTGAACTTATTCTTGAATTATGATCTTCCTTGTTTCTTTTTACTTATGGTACAACTCCCTCCTTTTTGACCTCCAAGTCCCAGCAATCCCGACTCCAGCATGTGTAGAATGCTGCTGCCTGCGTTCTCGTGCGTACAAAAACTTGACCACACCAGCTCCAACTTTCAACTCTATTCACCACCCACAAATTTCAGGAGCCAGTTCAAAATGGTGGTTTTTTTTTTAAATAAGAGCTTCCATCATGAACTTGCTGTGGCCTGCTTTCTCTTCTGTCCTACTTCCACTTTGTTTGCTTGTTAGCACCCATTCTTGGTTCCTTCATGCAGTCTTGCCACGGTTGGTGTGAGAGTCTTCTGCAACCCAGAAACCTTTCTATCTCACTGATTGTTTTCAAATGGGGGGGAACCCATCCCCTTCCTATCCTGAAACTCTTAATTTCTCTCACTAGTTTGGATCTGCTTTGTAAACATACTTACATTTATAAAGTGTTTTGTGATAGTTTGTGTAAATTAAAAATGAGTTGCATGTGTTAAATTATTGAACAATAATTAGGAATTTTGTCTAAAACAGAAAATAACATTTATGTCCACGACCTGTTGACATTTCAACAAATCACCACAGTCTCTAAGGCAAAAGGTGCATCTCTGTTCACCTGTGACTTACAGGTAAGTGGAGGCAGGTTAATGTTGCAAGCGTTCTGACAAAATCTCATAACAAGGACTAACTTTCAAATTTCTCAGAGGGTTTGGTATGTTAAATTTAAAATGAAAATAATTGTATTATATGAGAAATTAGGAGATGTTGTGGTTCAGCACTTCTGAAAATCAGGCTGCTTATTTACATATTTAACAATGGACTTAAGAACTTCACTCCAGGTATACAAGTTTTTTAAAAATGTTGGTCTTGGTCCCTCCCTCCACTTTGTAAGAGTATACTTGGTTGTAATTTTGGGCTTTCACCCATCGATTCAAGACTTAACTGAATTTTCATCCTAAGTGATGAGATTTTTAAAGGGTTCTTCGAGTGCTTTTTTCATTTGGAAGCCATCCGCATCTTGGGACTTAAAATGGGGCTTACAAAGGTAATGGAATCACCATTTGAGTGATTCTTTGAATTTTCACTTCACAATCTTTTTCTGAAGATTTGTTTCTGGTAACCGTTACATTAACCTACAGTGTCTTGGAGACACTAATGGCTGATTCAATCTATATAATGTTCCATAAGGATAAGGTGGTCCTTCATCCGGGTCCTACGGTCTTATAAAAATGGTCTCTTATTTACACGTAAATCAGTTCATCAGTTTACCTATACTTTGGTCCCCAAGCCTTGCTCATAGCTAGAGGAGACTTAAGTTGATGGTGTACCTCTAGTGCTTTGATTTACTCTTCACAGGAAGCTTGGTCTTTGTAATTAGGCAAGCTGAAACTTTTGCCCAGTGATAAACATTTTCTTATAATTATTTAGTCTTGGGCTTCTAGTGTTAACATACAGCTAATGCTAAATCTTATGAAACATGCAAATCCAAGCGTTAGAGTGTCTTGGTTTACTTTTTGTGTGTGGGTGTCTGACTTAACGTGTACTTGCAGTGGTGCTTCTTGTCAAACTGTTCTAATTAACTAGTATACAAAACATAGATTATAGTTCATTAATATGATCATGTCTCCCTTTCTTTGAATCCCTTGTTTCCCACTCCTTCACCACATAAGTGTCTAGTTTCTTCTTTACATTCAAGATCCTGACTAATGCCAATTTCTAATGCTTAACTGTCCTTGTCTTTTTCATATTGCCACAGTCCTTTCCACTTCACCAGTAATATTATTTTCCACCTCTATCTTTTTCTCCCACCCTGCTCAACTCCATGTGGAACCCCTCTTGGAGCTGATATGTAAAGCACTGCCCTCTCCATATTCATATTCCTACCATGATGCTGTCAAGCAATTAATTAACTAATGATGAGGTGGAAGGGTAACTGGGGACAGCAAAACACCATTGACCACTTAGAGTAGGAGAAAAAGGTACAAACAACTTCTCTCTTGTTGCCTGAAGGGTCTTGGGGAAAGACAGTGCCTTTCTTTGTTTGTACAGCACCTAGCACATTGTTGGAGCTACAGGAAAAATAGTAGGAGTAGATGGCTGAATAGTGGGCAATGGCAATTGGTGGCTTTCACCTCTTCAGATCTAGCTCAGGGTAGTAGTGACTGAGCCATTACCATCTTGAAGGCTGGCTGGTTGACTACATGAAAGAGTTTGGTGCATCTTGTCCTTGGGGAAATGGAACAGGTGTCCTCATTGCATAAACCACCATCACAAAGTTTGGTCTCTGCAGAAAGGTCAGTCTATGCCTGTTCATTCAGTCTTTGGCCTATCTTTTTCTGTATAGAGGCAGTCTCACCAAAATAAGGTTGAGGTACAGTGGCAAATGTGGGTAAGCTTATACTGCTGCTACCCAATTCAGTCTCCAGAGCTGTTATCCTAGTAGCTTTCATTAACAGTAGAGTTCTTGATAAAAGACCTATTGTGGCCTGGATTTATCTTGCATTAATTATTTCAGAATGCATCTCAAAGAATCTTTCTTCTGGCCACATGCACATCTGAACTCAAGTTCAGCACCTTGATTGACATCCACTTGGAGTTTGGCCCAGTGAGAAAATAGTCCATGGTGACCCGATGGGAGCATGGAAGTTTACTCAGCTGCAACTTAGCTCTTCCATTGGCCAGTTGTGCTATAGGTTTAGGATTATTTATGGCCCTATATTATCTTCCTTATTTACCTTCTAATCCTAATGCATGTGAGGCTGTCTGTTTTCACAGCACTCTGATACAGGGGAGGAGGTGCTGAGGATGTGCGTGGCAGTGCGGAAGAAGCTACAGCTGTATTTCTGGAAGGACAGGGAGTTCTATGAGCTACAGGTGAGATAGTGGTGTGGGAACCACTAGACTGTATGAGAGCCCTTGCCAGAGTATCAAATTGTTTTTAATACCCCAGTTTAATCAGCAGTATAATTCAGAATCAGTGCTCTTGATAATGCTGGTGCTGCATGGTTTAACAAAGAAGCAGCAATTGAAAGCAAAGTGTTGATACCATTGAAATAATGGATTGGGAGCTAGATATGGATGAAAATCATCAGGAGCCAATAGACTGACTCCTTTCTTGAAGATGATGGGTAGTGATAGAAAGATACAATTTGTATACAATCCTAATTGTCCTCTGCATTCTAGCTCTGGTCCACTTTGAGACCCAATTAAATAACTGTTCAGAAAGGTCACACTGTCTAGCTGCAGAATGCCCTGCCGCTGTGCAGAAAACTGGAGTTGGGACTTTCTAGCTAAATCCTGTCGTTCCCTGGCCAGGAAGGGTTGGGAGTGATTCTAAAGTAGACTCCACTTCTTAAACAGATATAGCCTGCCCTTTCCTGCAGCAAACATGATGCTAGTGAGAATTATTCAATGAGCATATCACTATTTTGCAGTAATATCTAATGTTTGAGGACTCTACTAGCTACAGAACTGCAATCTTAAAAGAAACCTTTCCTACTGTGTAAGAGTGAAGAAAGGGTTATGTGCTCAGTGTTATTGTACTGCCTCCTCCGCAATTAAATATGAAACAAACTTTCCAGACCACAGGTTAACAGGAGCCCGGGGAAGGCATAGTTAGCCCCTAAGGCAGCCAATGTGACTTATTTTCCTTTCATCCTTCAGGGGGACTTCAGTGTGCCGGATGTGCCCAAGTCTATGGCATGGTGTGAAAATTCTATCTGTGTAGGTTTCAAGAGAGACTATTATCTGATAAGGGTAAGAACAGGACTTTGAACTGAGGATGTAAGGGGATGTTAATAATTTTAGGGAGAGTACATAGACTGCTCCCGGGGAGGGAGGATTCAGAGTGAGAGACACACTGTTTATCATAAAAATGTACCATTTTTGACATGCTGTCTTTCAACTGACACCTCCTTCCACAAAAGCATGCATGTTCCTTTAAATTGCCTGTCTTTCTGAAAGAAAAAAACTATCTTGCTGTTGCAAGTAATGCCTAAGATTAGTTTAACTGAATTAAATTAAGAAAACATTTTTTCATCTGGGCAGCACTTTAACTCAGTTTCATAGTTTCCCTTTTGTTTGGTGTATTTACACCTCAACATAAGAGGGGAAAATATTTTAAAGATAACCTATTCAGTAGGGTTTTTTTAAGCGAGGTTATTCAAGGAGCAGAGTAACTTCACCAAAATTATTTTAGTCCTTTCGCTGAAATTAAACAGCTTCAATTTGACAACATCCCTTTAAATATCTAAATTCATCCACTGTTAATTATTTCAGATTCCACAGCAGGGATGAAATGAAATAGTGCCTTCTATTCGTTGGTTAATTTGACGGAAACATTAACAATAAAGTCATAACTATTACCATTACTATAATTTTCCATCTTTATCATTTTATGCTGATATTTTAGGAAAATGGAATCCATACCTATGGTGCTGTCACTTAAATAAGGCCCATATATGAATGAGAAGGGTGTCCAAGGAAAATCCATGGACTACTGCACACTTTTACTGACATCCGTATTATCTTGCTATACAGACTGTATGCCTTGGTGGCTAAATAACAAGATCATCCAGTTACGGTAGTCTATTAGCAATAGGAACAGGCTTCCTCAAATTAAGAGGAAAAAACACAAATTTATTTTTAAATTGCAATGCTAACAAGTAATATTTTGATACATACAGAAGATGACCTACAAATAGCCTTCAAAGCTACCTTCATGTGTTAGTGGATATTTTGAGACTCCTGTATCACTTTCCCAAAAAAAAAAGACTATAAAGTCAGTCTTTTCATCAAGTAGTCTTCTATAGTTTTGAGATGACAACTCCACAGTGAAAGCTGAATGACCTTTCCCCTCCCCCCTTCCTCTCACAGGTGGATGGAAAAGGGTCCATCAAAGAACTGTTCCCCACAGGGAAGCAGCTTGAACCATTGGTGGCTCCCTTAGCAGATGGAAAAGTTGCAGTTGGTCAAGATGATCTAACAGTAGTACTTAACGAAGAAGGGATTTGTACTCAGAAAGGTGCCTTGAATTGGACAGACATTCCCATAGCTATGGGTGAGAACTAGAAGTTTTTTCCTTGCTGTAACCAAGCCAGGATTTGTCAGCTTTCTGTTCCTTATGAGTGGAGCAGATTTAAGTTTACTAGCTTAATGTATGAGGCTTTGATTGTGTCACACTGGTTTTATTACAGTCATCTGAGTGCTAGTTAGCATAACCTATTGATTAGAGCAGAGCGGCATGGGTTATATTTTTGTCTCTACTTCCTTGCTCTCAACTTCTGTGCCCTCAGTTTCTTTTTCAGTACGGTGGGGATAACCCCACCTTTGTAAAGTGATTTGAGATCTACAGATAAGACACTACATATGTGCCACTTGTTTTTGTAATTTAAAACCTGATTTTTGGCTTTTGTGACCAGTTGAGTACTGCAGAATTTGCATGTGGTGAGAGAGAAGTGGCAAGGAAAACCGGGGGGGGGGGGAGAGGAGAGATAGTAATGAATTGCTGTTAATTTTTAGCATTAAGCTCATTGATGGATTTGGGGGATGGGTGAGAAGGGCGTAATGTACTGAAAATTTCTGGAAAGAAGTTATGTAGTGAGTTGTGGCCCTTTCCAGGGTATATTGGAGAAATCCATCTGATGCATGCTTGTTCCATCTCCCAAACAGAACATCAGCCTCCATACATCATTGCGGTGCTACCAAGGTATGTGGAGATTCGCACTTTTGAACCCCGGCTGCTGGTGCAGAGTATTGAGCTGCAAAGACCACGCTTCATCACCTCCGGAGGGTACAAGAGCACTTCCTTTTTCATCTCTCCCTATACCTAGTCTTTCTTCTTTGACAGCTTCTGTGTATTGTGCCCTTCCATACAATCTGAAATACAACTCTGGTAAACTAACACCATGAGTTCTTCATCATGTTGTCTCTTTTCTGACCTGTGGAGTCAGAAGTTGTCAACAGCTCATAGCCAGAACCTTAATAATCTGCCTCTCTTGTCCCTACACCATGCTGTGTTGATCTTAGGGTTACTGGATAAGGGACACTGTTCTCTTGTGTTCTACTGCTTTCTTGCAACTAAATTCCTTTGTACTTCTCACAGCTCTCTTCACTCTGCAGTGGCTAGTATAGACCGAATACTTGTATCCTTATTGCTTAGTTATGTAACCTGTTTTGATTTAATCTAACCTGATGATTTGGGGGTATAACTGCCCTTTTTTTTTGTAGAAGGCAGCTAGAAGCACTGACAAGTTTGCACAAAACTTTCTCTGGGAATTTATTTTTAAAAAGGCTTAAGATTAACAAAATGTGTCTGTGCTTGTGGGGTGAGGGCTGGGGAGGCTCATGTTCTGAGCACAACACAGGAAGCTAGAAAATCCTTAATTCTGTTCTGACTCCCTCCGACCTTGACTAAGCCACTTAAACACTCTTTCTCAGTTTCTCCATCTGTAAAGTAAAAGGTAATACTCACCTACCTTGCGTAGGCATTGAGGATTAATTGGGTGTTTAAGTTGCTCTAAATATGAAAAGTGGATGTTATTCAAGGCAGCATTACTGTCATCAAAGTAAAGTGAACATGTATAAGCTGATCTCTCATGGCTTTCAAGGGCATAGTGGAGGTTCCCTTGCTCTCTAGTAGAACCTTTGATTCCTGTTTCAAGCTTGATTATTGGGGTGGCTGCAGTAGTGTCTTGATGACAAGCTTCTTGTGGAAATGGAATACTGTGACCCTTTACGAGGGTACCCAGGATTGTGAGGCACTTTACTGCTGCCCTTAGCGTGAAGTAGTCTTGTCTGTGTATGCGTGATCAGCTCCCCGAAACCACCACCAGCCTCTGAAAGCATAAGCACTACCTCCTAGGCCTCTCCAGAGCTCACTTTCTCTGTACAGGTGGCAACAGGCACACAACAACCCCCAAATACTCAGTGTTCCCTGCAGCGTTCAGCCTTTATCCGTTGAATACTCAGACTCACCGGTCTGCTATTCCCAAACACCAGCTTCTAAGATTTAACTCAAGAGGAGCACATTGAGTTAAACTTCTACACTTAAACTTGTTTTCATTATAAATATACATATCAGTGACTAGAGATTTAAGTAAATAATGAGTAATAATATTGGAAACAAATGGTTACATATAAAACACAATTGTAATATGCTTTCTAGAAACTAATCTTAACTAACAAATTACTCTTTTGTCCAAAGAAATTTCTCACTCAAAGTTCTCTTCAGTGTTTTCAGCCAAGCCTGGTTGAGACTCCTTTTGCATGAAGCAAAAGCACTGTCCTTTTACTTCCTCAGTGAAGGGTGCCTGGGTGTCCCTTTGTACCCCCAAATATACACAAGCAAGCCTTTGGTGAGCACCCCAAGATAAGGGTCTCTTCCTTTTAGTTCCTTTCTGAAGTTGTTTCTTGCAATCCAGCTGCAGGTATCTAATTGCAGTGTAGACATACCCTGAGTGTCCTCAGGAATTCATAGTGGTGGTTTAATCACTTTCTGTTTTGCCTTCACCACCATGTTGAGCAGGGGAAAGGAGAACTTGAGTAACCTCACCACTTCAGTATATCTGGTTAAGTCATACATGTGTTAACCAGGATTGACTGTTCTTGCAAAATATGGGATAGAGTTCCTGCCTCACTATTAAATCTTGGTAACCTGCCTTTTCTCTTCCAATTATAGTACGAATATTGTGTATGTGGCCAGCAATCATTTTGTTTGGCGTCTCCTTCCAGTCTCCATAGCAACCCAGATCCAGCAGCTTCTCCAAGACAAGCAGTTTGAATTGGCTCTGCAGTTGGCGGTAAGTTGTCTTCTTTAGTGGTGTAGGTGGAATACACTATTTGTAGTGCTGGGGTATAGAACCATGGGCCAGTCTCTGTAGTTTGTTTGGTAACTGCTGCCACTAAGCACTGTTGCAAGCCCTGAGGTCTTAACCTCCTTGATGTCCACTTCACACAAACTCTCTAGTTCCTCCTGATTAACCCTTTAGCCATTTAACATCTTCCTGTCTCCGGGTTCTACTCTGCTATCCAGTGCTGCCCATCCTTGACAAGCTGTCTGTTTTTAGAAGTTTAGGTGCTTTTGGTCACCTCTTCAATCCTGGATTTTCCCATTCTCTGCAGTGAATTTCAGGCTCAACACTGTCAGTGTTTTTCTTCTCCATTCTCTTTATATTTAAACACAAGAATTCTTCCTATTATTCCTGGGTTTGTATTTGTGTAGGAAATGAAAGATGATTCAGATAGTGAAAAGCAACAACAGATTCATCACATTAAGAACCTTTATGCCTTTAACCTCTTCTGCCAGAAGCGCTTCGATGAATCCATGCAGGTTTTTGCCAAGCTTGGTACAGGTAACTTGGTATAATCTGGGGTTGAAGAATGTGGGTGAGGGGAGACTACAGTAAATCTCAACTGAAATGGACATTGGTGCTGAACTTGATTTTGTTTGAGAACAAGTAGTGTTGTCTTGTGCAGCCCAAAGATTAGTTTGTTGGTTAAATGCTGAAACCCCCCCCCACACTACTACACAAAAAGTGTCACAAGTTGAAATAGAAGTATAAGGGGCACCTGTACACTTGCCAGTGCCTTCACTCTGAGGTCTGAGCACCAGCCACTGCTAAAAATCAGTGAGCCCCTACCTGTTTTTCTGCCTGATGGACATTTCATGGAATGGAATACGAATGGAGTGAATGTCAAAAGTTCCTGAATAGTCAACTTTCAGCTAAAGCCATGACTTTCAGTGAGTTTTAGGCACCTAAGTCACTTTTGGGCATTAGGACCTTTTGAAATCTACTCCTGGGACCAGAAGAGCAGATCAGGAGCCAGGAGGGTCCTAAATTCTAATCTAAGTAATGAACTTTAGAGTTCGTAAACTGTGTGAAACTGATACTCATTAGTAAAGGGAACTGCTGGTCAGATCTGTCATTGTAATCTGTTCAGAAGCTCATTGGATTTATTATAATGGTGTCTTGTACTTAGGAGCCTTTTGCAACCAGCAGTATTAATTCACAGTCCTGCCATTGAACCTCATTATTAGTGTTGGGATTCTGCACTAAGCTCTAGCAAAAGAATGATTATCATGGGTCGGGGAAGGCATGAACTTACGAGTTCTGCTCCAGCTCTGTCTGTCTCCCCCTTGCCTCACTTAACTTCTGCTTCCATTTCCTTGTGTGTAAAATGGGGCTATTTGATTAGTGATTTAATAGTGTAGAGACAATTATTTGTAAAGCACCAGGAAGATGAAACTACTAAGTGTTGGGGGTTTGTCTATGATCAACTGCACTTATTACCGGAAAGCTATATAATACTGGTATTTTGGAAAACAAGATGCTATGAAACTTACAAATACTGGTTGTTTTTTTGCTTAGATCCCACTCATGTGATGGGTCTGTATCCTGACTTGCTGCCCACTGATTACAGGAAACAGTTGCAGTATCCTAATCCTCTGCCTGTGCTCTCTGGGGCTGAGCTGGAGAAAGCACACTTAGCACTCATAGACTATCTAACTCAGGTAAATGCTGTTAATATGTACCTCTAGGGAATTTGGCTTCTGATGCCCAGCCCTGACCTGGTAACTTCAGTAAGGGGGCATTGCATAGCAGGGAGATGTGTCAGAAGAATACAGTGCTGGATTTGGAGCATACTCTAAATGTATCTGGTAGCTATGCTTTCCCTCTCACTGGTTCCCATGGACTACTATACTGTTCTCTCCCTTGAAGCCTTCTGTATAATAGACTGAATGGATAGCTTGTGTCTCTACTTATATTTTTGCTGAATAATAATTAAACTTCTCTATTGATTTTAAGAAATTGGAAAGCTGTTTAATGCCTCTAGCTTTTTAAAAAATGTCTCCATTCATCCTTGCTATTTTGAGGGTTTCCTTCACTTTTTTCTTAACTTTACAACATTCAAATGGGAAATTGGCCCTTTTCTGGATATCTTAATAAATATGAACATTTGTCCCTTTATTACAGTGAACAGGTTGGCAGTAAACATTTTTAAAAAATACACATTGAATCTTTCTGGGGAGCCAAAAATAGATGGTTTTAATGTATCTGAAAATTATTGTTCGATATTTGTGTAACATAGGACTAAAGCAATGGACAAGAGAGCTATTAAGTGAGCATTCTGATAGTCAAATTAATGCTGCAAAACTCATCTGTTTTCTTGGGACTTGGAGACGTGCTGGGATGAGAATTAATTGATGAGTTTAGTTGCAATAGAATTAATTTACAGAGTGGTTTTCAGATCTTTGAGTAGATGCAACAGTGTATTCCACTTAGTTTTATGTTTGCACAGTAAACCGGAGCCGGAGAATTTTGCCTATCAGTACCTGTAGAGTGGTGATGGGGCTCGTGCCTCATGGTCATAGTCCCTCCCCTGGCTATATGAGGGGGTGGTACCACCTGGACTTGTCTCAGTTCCTTCTTACTGCCTTTGGCCGGAGTCAGGAACCTCACAGACGTCCAACCTTGCAACCTCTGTTTCTTAGTGACTTTTCTAGTTGTATATAGTTAATTAGTGTTAGCTTTCGTTTAAGTATTTCTCTGGTGGTGATCTCACCAGGATTTAAACATTGTGCAGAGGAGCAATCTCCAACGATCCCCATGCACGGTGCTTGCTGTGCTTTGGCTACTAATACCCTGTCTCTACCAGTGGCCTCCATGCAATCTGGGACACTGCAGAGGTCCAACTCTTCATCTTGTTCTAAAGCAAGATCACTGGGCGGGTCTGTGCCTGTGACAGGCCCAGGCACTGGTGGAGTCTTCCCGGCACGAAGCCTCTAGTGTTGTCCAGGTCCGTCAGTCCTGGAGCTGGATCCATCTCGGGCACGTTTAACTGCTTCATCTTCGTCCCTGGACAATTCCGTGGTGCCTAGTTCTTCCTCTCCTTCAGTACCAGAGGATTTCAAGACCTACCAGGGCCTCTTGTGATGTGTGGCTGCTTTCCTAGCTATTCAAGCAGAGTTCCTGCAGGCGAATACCCATAAGCTGTTGGCTATCCCGCAGCTGTCTGCCCCTGGGAAAGTCACCCTCTCTCTTAATGATTTGCTCTGAGAGCCTGCTAATGTTCTCTGAAGCATGCTGACTTTGATAGCACCTACTGCGGAGCACGGAGCACGTGGAGAAGTGCTATTTCATCCTGGTGCAGGGATTTGAGGGTTTTTACTCTTGTCTGGCCTCAAATTCCCTGGTCATAACTGCAGTGAATGATAGAGCTCAGCAGGGCAGATTTAAGTCTACTCCCAGGGATAAGGCCTCTAAACAAATGGACCTGATGGTTAGGAAGATTTACACCTTCTGTTCCTTGCAGATGTGTGTTGCTAATCAGCAGTCATTGCTGTCCAAATATGATTTTGTAAACTGGACGGCTGCGTCTAAGGTTGCAGGCCGGCTGCCCGAAGCCTTGAGAGAGGAATTTTGGGCCTTTATCACTGAAGGATGCTTGGTGGCTAAAACTTTGTTGAAGTCTATGCTGAATGTCGTGGCTACTTTGGCTAGAGTGGCCTCAGCGGTGACCATGAGAAGGGTGTTGTGGCTGCAGAATTTGGGCACTACTCCTGATGTGCAACAAGCCATAGAGGAATTGCCCTTTGGTGGCCTAGTGCTTTTTTTGAATGGATGACTCTGCATTCCTTCAAGGATTGTAGGGCTACATTATGTTCTGTGAGGGTGTACACACTGTCAATGCAGAAGCACCACTTCAGTGATCATCATCAGCAGTATTGTCTGCCGTATACACTTGGTCAGCCTTTCCCTCCTCCAAGACAGTGGAGTTACCCCAGAAAGTGGCATAGGTCCCAGAGGAAGAGGCATTTGGCTCAGGGGTTTGGCCAGTCCATATGCCTTCCCCAGGCATCCCCCAAGCACTCATTTTGACTCCTTAGTCCGGGGCAGTGTTCCAGTCATCGCTCCCTTCTCCCTGTCCCCTGATTTGGGGACAAGCTGGCTTGCTTTCACAATGCTTGGGGCTTGATCACCACTGACAGTTGGGTCCTAAGCACGATCAGATTGGGCTGTGCCATCCAGTTCCTTCCATTTCCCCCCACCCCTTCTTCAGGGATCCCTCACAAGATGCTCTACTGGCTTTGGGAACGGTGAAGGGGGTTCTGCTAGAACACTGGAGTCAGGGCTTCTATTCCCAGTACTCTCTGGTGCCCAGATCCAAGGGAGAGGTAAGACCCATTCTTGACATTTGTGGCCTTGACAAATATCAGATACATGAGGTTCTCAATGGTCACTATCGACTATCTTCCCCGCATTGTCTCAGAATGACTGGTTTGCTGCTAAGGACCTTCAGGATGCCTGCTTTCCTGTGGCAATTCTACCGAGCCACAGAAAATTCCTTTGATTAGTCGAAGCAGAGCTCCATTTTCAGTATATGGTGTTTCCCTTCAGCCTCTCTTCTCTCTTCAGGTATTTTTACCAAATGCATGGTTATGGTGACTGCATACCTCAGGAGGAAAGGAATCCACACCTCCCCATACTTGAATAACTGGCTACTGAGAGGCAAGTCCAGAGAGGAAATCCTTTGTCAACACTACACTGCGCTTGCTAGACCGTCTGGTCTCCTCCTAAATGCCAGGAAGTCATCTTTGGTTCTCACTCAGAAAATTGAGTTAATTGGGACCCTAATAGACTCTATAAGTTTCAGAGCATTTTTGCTGACTGATCACTTTCAGGTGATTTGCCACCTGTTCCTCAGTCTGCGATGTCAGCCTTTCATGACAGTTTGGATGTGCCTGAGGCTCTTGAGCTATGTGTCTGCTTGCACACAGGTGGTCCAGTTTGCAAGGTTGTGTCTTCTCCCCCTTCAAAAGTAGCTCAGGACAGCTTACTGACAGATTGTTCACTCCTTGGACAGATTGGTCCATCTCCCTCCACTGGTCCTGGACTCATTGCAGTGCTTGACGCTTTCCAAGAGTGTTTCAGGGCATTCCCTTCGTCTGGCCCTTACCAACAAAACGGTTGTCACTCGTGTCTCCCTGATGGGCTGGGGAGTGCATCTGGGATTGCTGCAAGTTCAAGGTCTGAGGTTGGAGCAGGAATCCACTGCCTATCAATGTGCTGGAGCTTCGGGCCATCTATAATGCATGCCATGCTTTTCTGGACCATTATAGAGATATACCATCTCAGCAGGTATTCTTCCCTGAGTTACAAATAACCCGGAGGATACTTGCCTTTAGTGATTATCTTCGCAGCTTGGGGCATTTCGATGATTGATCTTTTTGCTACGAGGGAGAAAGGAAACATCTGTTATTTTCTCGAAGAGAGCCTCAATCTGGGCTCCGTGTCTGCTTTCCATCTCAGCTGGCAGTTGTCTCTCTTGTACGCTTTCCCTGATCCTGCTCATCCCAGAGGTTATCCTCAAGCTAAAGGCAGACCTGGCCAAGCTCATTCTCATAGCTCCGGCGTGGCCGAAGCAGTGCTGGTTCTCCAACTTTCTTGCACTGTCAGTTCAGCCTCCCATACCCCTTCCCCTCCGTCTCATCCTACTCTGACAGAATCATGGTCACACCTTACCAACCAAATAGCTTTCTTTGACAGGGTAACAAGCCTTGTAGATAGGGAGGAAGCGGTAGGCGTGGTATGTCTTGACTTTATTAAGGCCTTTTGATTCTGTCTCTCATGACCTTCTCGTAAACAAAGTAGGAAAATACAATCTAGATGGAGCTTCTATAAGGTGGGTGCATAACTACTGTCTGGGAATGGTTTTCAACCAATTATCAGTGGTTCACAGTCAAGCTGGAAGGGCATAATGAATGGGGTCCGGCATGGATCAGTTTTGGGTCTGGTTCTGTTCAATATCTTTATCAGTGATTTAGATAAAGGCATACAGCGTACCCTTATAAAGTTTGCAGATGATACTAAGCTGGGAGGGGTTGCAAGTGCTTTTGAGGATAGGACTAAAATGCAAAATGAACTGGAGAAATGGTCTGAAGTAAATAGTACAATAAAGACATGCAAAGTACTCCACTTAGGAAGGAACAATCAGTTACACACATACAAAATGGGAAATGACTGCCTAGGAAGGAGTACTGCAGAAAGGCATCTGGGGGTCATAATAGACCACAAGCTAAGTGAGTCAACAGTGTAACACTGTTGCCCTCTCCTCTTCCCCCCCCCCCCCCAAAAGCAAACATTATTCTGGGATGTATTAGCAGGAGTGTTGTAAGCAGGGCATGAAGGAAATTCTTCTGCTCTACTCCACGCTGATTCGGTCTCAACTGGAGTATTGTGTCCAGTTCTGGGCACCACATTTCCGGAAAGATGTGGATAAATTGGAGAAAGTCCCGAGAAGAGCAACAAGAATGATTAAAGGTCTAGAAAATATGACCTATGAGGGAAGATTGGAAAAAAAATTGGGTTTTAGTCTGGAGAAGAGAAGACTGAGAGGGGAGAGTTTCAAGTACATAAATGGTTGTTACAAGGAGGAGGGAGAAAAATGGTTCTTTTTAACCTCTAAGGATAGGGAAAGAAGCAATGGGCTTAACTTAAACTGTCATAGGATAGGTCCTCTTATGGATCGGTAACTGGTTAAAAGATAGGAAACAAAGGGTGGGAATAAATGGTCCGTTTTCAGAATGGTGAGAGGTAAATAGTGGTGTCCCCCAGGGGTCTATTCTGTGATCAGTCCTGTTCAACATATTCATAAATGATCTGGAAAAAGGGGTAAACAGTGAGGGGAAAAAATTTGCAGATGATACAAAACTACTCAAGATAGTTAAATCCCAGGCAGACTGCGAATCGCTACAAAAGGATCTCTCAAAACTGGGTGACTTGGCAACAAAATGGCAGATGAAATTAAATGTTAAGTGCAAAGTAATGCACATGGGAAAACATAACCCCAACTACACATATAAAGTGATGGGGTCTAAAGTAGCTGTTACCACTCAAAGAGATCTTGGCGTCATTGTGGATAGTTCTCTGAAAACATCCACTCAATGTGCAGCAGCAGTCAAAAAAGCTAGCAAAATGTTGGGAATCCATTAAGAAGGGGATAGATAATGAGAGAAAATATCCTATTGCTTCTATATAAATCCATGGTACGCCCACATCTTGAATACTGTGTCCAGATGTGCTCGCTCCATCTCTAAAAAGATACAGTATATTGGAATTGGAAAAAATTCAGAAAAGGACAACAAAATGATTAGGAGTATGAAATGGCTTCTGTATGAGGAGAGATTAATAAGACTGGGACTTCTCATTTTGGAAAAGAGATTATTAAGGGGGGATATGATCGAGGTCTATAAAATCATGACTGATGTGGAGAAAGGAAGTGTTAAATAAATAGGGAAGCGTTATTTACTCCTTCTGTTAACACACGAACTAGGGGTCACCAAATGAAATTAATAAACAGCAGTTCTAAAACAAACAAAAGGAAGTATTTCTTCACAAGAAGCACAGTCAACCCATGGAACTCCTTACCAGGGGATGTTGTGAAGGCCAAGACTATAACAGGGTTCAAAAAAGAACTAGATAAATTCATGGAGATTAGGATGGAAGAATCACATGCACTGCTACAGACTAGGGACCGAGTGGCTAGGCAGCAGTTCTGCAGAAAAGGACCTGGGGATTACAGTGGATGAGAAGCTGGATATGAGTCAACAGTGTGCCCTTGTTGCCAAGAAGGCTAATGGCATTTTGGGCTGTATAAGTAAGGGCATTGCTAGCAGATCAAGGGACATGATCATTCCCCTCTATTCAGCATTGGTGAGGCCTCATCTTTCATAGAATATCAAGATTGGAAGGGACCTCAGAAGGTCATCTAGTCCAACCCCCTGCTCCAAACAGGACTAATCCCCAGACAGATTTTTGCCCCAGATCCCTAAATGGCCCCCTCAAGGATTGAACTCACAACCCTGGGTTTAGCAGGCCAATGCTCAAATCACTGAGCTATCCTGCTGGAAGCGGCAGCCAGTACGTCCCTCGGCCCGCACTGCTTCCAGCAGCTCCCATTGGCCTGGAGCAGCGAACCGCAGCCACTGGGAGCCACAATCAGCCGAAGCTGCGGACGGGGCAAGTACACAAACTGGCCCGGCCCGCCAGGGGCTTTCCCTGCACAAGCGGCGGAACAAGTTTGGGAACCACTGATCTAGATAATACTTAGTCCTGCTATGAGAGCAGGGGACAGGACTAGATGACCTCTCCAGGTCCCTTCCAGTCCTGTGATTCTGTAATCAACTCCCTGCATCGCCTGGTTTGGCTGCTTCATTGCTGAATGAGGAGAAAGTGTGGTATTTGGCAGCTGTTGAACAGGTCCTAATCAATAGATGAAAGCCCTCTACCAGAATGGCCTATTCAGCTAAATGGAAGCAGTTTTTGGTGTGCTCGTCAGCCCTCAAAATTCAACTGACAATGTCCTGAATAGGAGCCAGCTTGGAGTACTCGCTGCACCTTCAGGCATTGTGCTTGGCTTGTTGAGAGTACCTCAGGCAGCAATATCAGCATTTCATCCCTCCACTCAGGGAAGATCAGTCTTCTCCAATGCCATGATAGCAAGATTCTTATAAGGCTTCGTCTCCATCTTCCAGTCAGTGAGTTTGGTCCTGTATGGGACCATAAAATGGTCCTAGTGGCTTTAATGAGACCTCCATTTGAGCCCCTGGCATCTTGCCTTTTGTTTTTGTGTCAGAAGGCTGTGATTTCTGATAGCAATTAACATCTGCAAGGAGAGTTTGAGTGTTGCAGGCTCTGATGGTAGAGCCTACTTATATACAATTCTCTAAGGACAAAGTGACTTTTTATGACTACATCCAACATTTTGTCAGTTCCATTTGAATCAGGTAGTATATTTACCTCTTTTCTTTCCTAAGCTGCGGTCATCTCCGGAGGAGCAGCGTCTTGACACATTGGATGTCAGGTGATGTCTAGCCTTCTGTCTGAACAGGAATAAACCATTTTGTGCTTCCCCTTACCTGTTTGTCATATTCAGATTGTATGGAGGGGCAAGCAGTCTCTTCAGATTATCTCTAAATGGATAACATCCTGTATCAAGGCTTCACATTAAATAGCTTCAGCTGTGCCTCCTCAGCAGATGTGAGCTGGTTCAATGAGAGCACAAGGAACGTCAATAGCATTCCTCAATGACGTCTCAATAGTGGACATTTACAGGCTATTACATGGTCGTCCATACATTTATGAACCTTTATGCCATTACTGCATCTTCCAGGACGGATGCAAGTTTTGGTAGGGTGATTCTTATTTAGATAGACTCTGAGCCCCGCCTCCTGGGGGTGGGTACTGCTTGTGGGGCAGCTAAGTTGAATACACACAGCTGTATAAGAATGGCCATACTAGGTCAGACGAAAGGTCCATCCAGCCTAGTATCCTGCCTGCTGACAGTGGCCAATGCCAGGTGCCCCAGAAGGAGTGAACCTAAAAGGTAATGATCAAGTGATCTCTCTCCTGCCGTACATCTCCACCCTCTGACAAACAGAGGCTAGGGACACCGTTCCTTACCCATCCTGGCCAATAGCCGTTAATGGACTTAACCTCCATGAATTTATCTAGTTCTCTTTTAAACCCTGCTATAGTCCTAGCCTTCACAACCTCCTCAGGCAAGGAGGTATTTCAGACGTATCTACTCAAAGAAGAAACGCTTACTGTAACTGTAGTTCTTCAATATATGATGCAGACATGTATTCCATAACCCACCCTCCATCCCCTCTGCATTGGTCTCTAGTCTCTGAATACTTGGTGCAAAGGAACTGAGGGGAATTGGGGCAGTGCTGTCTCATATAGCTGGGGGGTTGGGGGAGTGTGTGCCTATGGCCACAAAGTGTGAGTGCTGCCCTCTATGGGTACTACTAGGCAAAATTTTCAGGTGTGCGTGCGCACCTAATATACTGGAGCTGAAATGGAATACATATTTGCATCACCTCTCGAAGAACCACAGTTGCAGTAAGTGACTGTTTCTTATGATTTTACGCCTGGTCAGAAGTGCATTTTAGCAGTTTAATGTAATTGTAGATTGTGTATTAAAATTGGAAGAGGACCCAGACCGCAGTATTGGTGTTCCTAGTACATAGTGTAAATTTTAAACATACTGTCAATAACTTGGGTTGATAGCTAAAAAGCCTAACTACATTGTGATTTATAGGGCCAAGCTATTTTGGTAAAGATAAAAAAACAGAACTTCAGCTAGCGTGCAATCAGTGGCGCAATACCAGCTGAGAATTTGGCTGGTTTCTATAAGGTACTTACAATGCTGACAAACTTTGATAGTTTACTTTTCTAGACTTAAATAATTAAAAGTAGTGACTAAATGTTACTTTTTCTATTCATAGATTTATTCTCACTAGTTTGTGACATGCTGGCCTATTAAGGGTAGATGGTGAAAGACACCACCAAAAGGAGCTGGACATTTGCGCTTTTTTCTTAAACAAATGTCAAATCTTAAATTTTCATAAAACTTGGTTAATGTAGATTAACAGTAGGCTTCTCAGATTAATTGGTGATGTAAAATTAGTATACATTGGGGATTACTCCTGTCATGGTGTGATATGGAAGGTGAAATTAGTTGAGGCCCTCGAGCTAAAAGTTCCCTGGCATAAACTGGGAAGGACTGGAGGCAAGCTATTTTCAGGAAGTAATCATCCGTTCTGTAATGCCCTTCCTCTTTGACCACTAGAGAACAAATATATTGACCAATAGATTACACTGCAGATGAAGCTTATTTGCCCAGGCTTTTCCCAGACAAGAGGGTTGGCAGAGCAAGCAGAAGTGGGTGGTGGCAGAACTTTGTTTGTGGGGACACTTGCGCTCTGGACACTAGTTCCGATTTTATGGGTTTTAGTAATTAAATCTTTGAAATGCACCCAGATTTATGGATGGACACCTCTTAAATCTAAATTGAGATACTTGTGGAGGGACAGTTGCTGGGTGTGTGTAATGCATTATAATTAAGAGGGTTTAGGTTGGCCTATGTTTTCCTTTGGAATTGTATTAGAGGGATGGCGGAATAAAATACTTCTAAAATCTCATTCTATGTTCTGCAGAAAAGAAGTCAGCTGGTAAAGAAGTTAAATGACTCAGACCACCAGTCCAGCACCTCACCCCTCATGGAAGGAACACCCACCATCAAATCCAAAAAGAAGTTGCTCCAAATCATTGACACCACCTTGCTCAAGTGTTACCTACATGTGAGTTCCCTGCCTAACCCAGCGAGCCTATAAAAATCTATAAAAAGTAAACTCCATTAGGAGTTTGGGGTGGGGAAAATTGGACGACAGGATAAGGAATAGTTTCATTTGAGGTTGTTGAAGTGAACATCTGTCCTTCATGGACTAAGGTGCTTTGTGGAACTTAATTTCATCTCATCTTATTTCTTCATTAGCAGCAGACAGCTTCACCGAAATTGGCAAGCATATCTGTTTACTTCCCTGGATTTGCAAGGTTGCCTTTCCTTAAAAAAGAGCAATGTTCTGTTTTGAAGTATAGAGAAATACCTACATATTTGTAAGCATGCTTGTCTCTTATTGCTGTACTTAACTAGATGGAGACAGTTGTCTGAGACCATTACACCTGAAGTTAATGTTTCTCAACAGCTGGCCTCCACCATAGTGAGTAAAAAAGTGCTGGTATATAGGCCACTGGCTATCTGCTTGCTCACTGAACACCGAAGTTAAACTGCATGTAAAATGGACAGAGTAGAGGACTCGCTTTCAAATGTTAAAATCCCACTTCTTGTGCCATAATGGATGTTTTCTCTTTTCTGGATCTCCTCCCCTTCCTGTGTTCTTGATCATAGTGTTGGACACTATAAGCCTGAGTATACAGTTCATGAATCTGAAACGTCTAAATGCCCTTCCCTTGCTTGCAGACAAATGTAGCTCTGGTAGCACCGTTGCTACGTCTGGAGAACAATCACTGCCACATAGAAGAGAGTGAGCATGTACTGAAGAAGGCACACAAGTACAGTGAGCTGATAATACTGTATGAGAAGAAAGGGCTGCATGAAAAAGGTAAGTGAGGAAGGAAGAAGGGTGAATGGAGTGCACACTTCTGCTGTACATCTTAACCCATCCCTTGCGGACAAGAGTCTGTTTATCCATTCTTAAACTAACAGTATTTCAGAATGGCCTACCCATTGTAGCAGTCTCTTGATTAAATAATTATTTGACTTTAGGCAATTAACAGGGATAAATACTTGAGTATGTCCTTGCCAAGAGCTGCTTGTGTAGCAAAAAGTTGACATGTAAAAATCATTTTTCCTGTTCTGCTGCATTGGTTAAGCTAATGGGGAGCACACTTTGTTGGCCTGCTCTCCCAGGAACACGAGTTCTCAGTGAATGCAGGAAGCTGCTTTCTAAATTTAAGGATAATCCCCATGGAATTGATCTCTTGCTTCTACTAAAAGCTCTGCAGGTGCTAGTGGATCAATCAAAGAAAGCCAACTCGCCTTTGAAGGGCCATGAAAGGACAGTGCAGTATCTACAGCATTTGGGTGAGTGCAGACCGGGGGTAAGTGGGAATCTCTCTTTTAAAGGGACGCCTCTAACCCTCATTACCTAGATTCTTTTGTGAATTTTCATAAATTGCAGAGATGCCAACCATCCATATTTTCTGTAATCCTCCCAATTTGTACACGTAGTTACAAAATTACTAATTCTGGCTTAAATCTATGAATTTTGCAAACACACACATTTTTATATGTATAACATATAGTTATCAGTCACTCACCACCACTCGTTCAGATGAACACCGCAAGTAGTGCCATGGCTGCAAGGGGCTTTCTGCTCCAGCACCCCTGTGGTGCAGTAAGGGCCTGATAGAAAGCAAACCGTGGCAATTTTGAATGGGTTAGGGTGCTGTTGGGTTATGGTAATGCGCTCTGGGTACCTAGAATGCGCCAGAGGATTCCACATAGGGCCGTTAAAGTGCAACACGCAACATGAGGCTTGGGTAATGAATCTGTTCCCCAAACCCCCTGACGATGGCTTGTTTTCTGGCTGACCCTTACTGCACAGTCTGTGGGAGAGAAGGCAGAGGAAGAGAGGGTACGTGACAGGAGGGTCATCCTGGAAAGGAGGTCCAGGCCTGGCCTGGCCAAGGTAATGAAGGGCCCTAGGCGGAGTAAGAGGGCAGCTTTCGTAAGGCCAGTATTCCCCTTCTGCCTGTTTTGATGGAAGGACGCAACCAGGCAACTTCTGGCCACAGATGGAGGTAGGGGCAGAGGTCCCTGTTTCTGGGAGGGAGGCACGGGGGAGAAAGAGGTCATGACTATGCAAAGGAAGGAACCTCATATAAACGTGCATGCCTCTGGTGGGGGGGTTGCCCCTCAGGAAAATTCTGGTTGCACCTTTGATGGGGGGGATATTGCCATGGGAGGAAGCAGGCGTGGTTGTGTGTTTTTGGTATGCTGCAGTGACTCGCCCCAAAGTTCACCAGCCACTACTGTTAATCAAAATGACTGATGTGGGTGATTTAAAAATTAGTGAGGATATCACCAAAATCATGGTTTGACCTGGTTGTGGCTAGTGATGTTTATTGTTACTAAATGTCACTTCATCTTGAATACTGTTATTACTCTGATATGCACAGAAGTGCTTCTAATATGGATTAGATGCGTTTAGGCGCTACTCCAGACTCCCGTCTGTATTTGGCTTCCCAACTTTGGCAGTTGGCACAGGTCCAAGCAACTTCTCTATTCCTCCCTAACTTTTTTCATAAACATCCCTAAGACTCAGAGCAAGGTTGGCATCTCTGAGATTATAAGGTCAGAAGCGTTGTGACCATCTAGTCTAATATAGCATAGGCCTTAGGACTTCCATGAAATAATTCCTGTTTAAAGTAGACAATATTTTTTTAGAAAAATTTTAAAATTTCCAGTGATGAAGAATCTACCACAACCCATGGCAAGTTGTTCCAATAGTTAATTACTCTGTTTTATTTTAAAAGAGCATCTTATTTGTCTAAATTTTGTTACTTCAGTTTCCAGCCATTGGATCTTGTTTTTCTTGTGATTGTATAAGTCTAATGGTACCATAGTATCTGGCTGACTTGATTTTCAAGCGGGAGCTAGCTAAATAGCAAACTGGGGCCTTAGCACAGAATTTGCTCTCTCTAATTCAAGCTCTGTTTTTTCTTAAATCAAACTTCTAGCATCTCAGGTTGTGAAAATATTTCACTATGCAAATCACTGCTTGTGCAGGAACTGGTAATTCAGATAGTGGTGAGTGTTATTACTTTGGTTCTTGTTCCAGGCACAGAAAACTTGCACTTGGTGTTCCTCTATTCCACGTGGGTGCTCAGAGACTTTCCTGATGATGGTTTGAAGGTAAGAGTTGCTACATTAGATGTATCTTTCATCTGGCTATTGATACCATTGGTATAGCAGCAGTTGTTTGTCCATGTCCTCAGAAGCCTGGATAGAGATTGGAGTCCAATTATTACCATTGAACTCCAGTGCAATGTATAGTTTTTCACTTACATTCAGTGCAGAAATTATCTTTCTAGTAATGGAAGGAGGTAGATAGAGCATTCCTACGTGTTTCCTTATATAGCCTTCTACTTGAAGATGAGCATGTGGAAATAGTTTCACTACAACTAAAGCTTCACATCCATGCAGTTCCCTCTGCACAGGGGGCTTTTGCTGTAACCAGCAATAAGGGCCCTATGTAATGTTACTATTAATGATATTTTGTGGTTGCACACAGTTTCATATGGTATATTTAAATACCAACTATAACTTATGCTCTTGTTTTTCATTCCTTCTCTGCTGCAGCTTCTGGTGGTAGAACACAAGCTTAAGTGCACTTTTTAATAGGCGATGTATGTGATACGTAGGGTAGCAATGGAGAGTGTTGCTGCTCATTCCAGATACAAGGCAGTGCCAAGTGGGTGAATCTGCTGCTATCATTCTTCAGAGAGCTCCCACATTTGATTTGAGGGCTTGTGTGTTGCAATACCTCTGACCCTTATGCCTCAGAAGAATGAGATTACACTCTACATTTTAAAAATCAGTCTCTGAATAGAAATTTTGTTTGGCAGATATTTACAGAAGACCTTCCTGAAGTAGAATCCTTGCCACGAGACAAAGTACTCAACTTCTTGATAGAAAGCTTTAAAAGCCTGGCCATCCCTTATCTGGTAAGAACTGGTAGTGAAAAAAGTGCTGCTAATTTAACATGTCTATATCAAGCTTCTGCTCTTGAGTGTTGAATCTGAAATTTTGTGAAGAATACTAAGTTCAGCATGAGGTGAAATAAACAAAATATACAGTTGTTAGGAGATGAAAAGCGAGTGGGACTCAAGAGCCATTTTTGACATTCCTAAATGGTGGTCAATGGAGAAAAGTGTGGAACTGTTGATAGACTGCACTGAATCACTTTCTGAAGGAAGAGGAAGCATTTTTTGATGAACTTGTGAACTGTGTGTTTATGTTCACAGGAACACATCATCCATGTTTGGGAGGAGACGGGCTCAGAATTCCACAATTGTCTGATCCAGCTGTACTGTGAGAAGGTGCAGGGATTAATGAAGGAATATCTCAGCTCCTTCCCTGCAGGTACTTCTAACCATGCTCTGCCTTGCCTTGCAACAGGCAGTGACACAGGAAGGGGAGATTGCAGAGCACACTGGCTAGACGTTGCCTTAGAAGTCTCTTGGAAATGTAGGGGTGAAATGGACCTCAACTGGTTATCTGGTCCATCCTCTTTGCTGAGGCAGGATCATGTATACCTAGATCATCCCTGATAGGTGTTTGTCTAACCTGTTTTTAAAAACCTGCAAAGATGGATTCCACCGCCTTTTTTTTTTTTTTTGATCCCTGTTTCAGTGCTTAACTATTCTTACAGCTAAAAGCTTTCCTAATATCTAGCCTAAATCTCCCTTGCTGCAGATTAAGCCCATTACTACTTCTCCGTGTCCACTGAAGGCAGGACAACAGTTATCATCCTCTTTATAACAGACCTTAAAATACTTGATGACTGTTATCAGGCTCTCCCTCAGTTTGCTTTTCTCAAGACAAAACACGCTTTCCTCATAGGTCAGGTTTTCTAAACCTTTTATCATTTTTGTTGCTCTCCTCTGAACTCTCTCCCATTTATCCACATCATTCTTAAAGTGTGGGACCAATTCTACAATGTATCCAGGTCCTTCTGAATTCCAGTCCTGTCCTCCAAAATGCTTGCAACCCCTCCCATCTTGGTGTCATCCACAGATTTTATAAACAAACTGTCCACTCCATTATTCGTGTCACTAATGATTTAAATTATAGGTTCTCTTTGCTAGTGCACTTCCTAGGGAAAAGAGCACAGCATGCTTCTAATATGGGATGAAGGGAGTACAATAGTGGTGAACTTACATGGAGCTTATAGTTTCGTGTGTTAAAGGAAATTCTAAGAAGCAATGAGAAACTTTTTTTCTTTTCATGGTTGTGTGGAGTTGAGACTACCCTTTCCTGAGTTCTGGGGTTTGGGAAAGAGAGGCTTTCTGCTTCATTATCAAGTGGTCCAAAAAAGGAGACCATAGTCCTCCAACTCCCTAAGAAGAACAGGAGTACTTGTGGCACCTTAGAGACTAACAAATTTATTTGAGCATAAGCTTTCGTGGGCTACAGCCCACTTCATCAGATGCATAGAATGGAACATATAGTAAGAAATATATATACCTACAGAGAACATGAAAAGGTGGAAGTAGCCATACCAACTGTAAGAGGCTAATTAATTAAGATGAGCTATTATCAGCAGGAGGAAAAAAAACTTTTGTAGTGATAATCAAGATGGCCCATTTTAGACAGTTGACAAGAAGGTGTGAGGATACTTAACATGGGGAAATAGATTCAATATGTGTAATGACCCAGCCAGTCCCAGTTTCTATTCAAACCCAAGTTAATGGTATCTAGTTTGCATATTAATTCAAGCTCAGCAGTTTCTTGTTGGGATCTATTTTTGAAGCTTTTCTGTTTCAAAATTGCCACCTTTAAGTCTGTTACTGAGTGACCAGAGAGGTTGAAGGTTTCTCCTACTGGTTTTTTAATGTTATGATTCCTGATGTCAGATTTGTGTCCATTTATTCTTTTGCGTAGAGATTGTCTAGTTTGGCCAATGTACATGGCAGAGGGGCATTGCTGGCACATGATGGCATATATATTCTTTTTGCAGATACAGACTAACATGGCTGCTACTCTGAAACTCCCTAAGAGTTATTCATGCATCTTTTATTCCACATGGTCCCCAGTGCATGGAGTATTGTAAACAACATTTGACTTCTTGCAAAATAGTTTAGTGAAAAATGCTCTGTCTCCCTGTTCCCTTATGTTACTGTGGGAGAACTCATATGACACTAACTCTGACAGAGGGTCCTGTGGAAATCTCCAGAGGCAGGTATAAATCAGTATGGCGATAACGAGGTTAGTTCAATCAGTGAGGGTGAGATGCTCTGCTAACAGTTGAGGTGTGAACACCAAGGGTTTCTCACCCTCCTTGCATCTGAAGAAGTGAGGTTCTTACCCACGAAAGCTTATGCTCCCAATACTTCTGTTAGTCTTAAAGGTGCCACAGGACCCTTTGTTACTTTTTACAGATTCAGACTAACACGGCTACCCCTCTGATAATTAACTCTGACAGTTTTCTCTCCCTCACAGATAAAATTCCAGTGCCTGCTGGAGAGGAGGAAGGAGACCTGGGGGAGTATCGGAGAAAGCTGCTCTGTTTTCTTGAGATTTCTAGCTGCTATGAACCTAGTCGTCTCATCAGTGATTTCCCCTTTGATGGTGAGTGCTAGTCATGCTCTAGCTTCCTTCAGCTTGAGGTCTGTTTAGTTTCATGTTGCACAGCAATATCTTTCTGTGCTCGCCTTCCTGTTTATAGTAACTGAAATGGAAAAGAACTATTAGGTCAGTAGTTGCCAATCATTGTTGCATGCACCAGTGTTGGCTGTTTGGGCTTTGTGACGGGTATAGTGGGATTCCCCTCTGGGTCTGTGGTGGGATAAGACGAGCTGCTGATTGACTTCTTTTAAATTTATACTGTAACCTGTAGATGAGCTTGGATTGCTCCAGACCAATAATGGCCCTTGAAGCATCCTATGCACATTGCTAAGAATCCCAAGCATGTTCAATAAAAAAGGTGGGGGGGGGGAGCACTGGCAAAAATAGTTCAGGAACCAGTAAAGTGATAGTATTTGACCTGGTCAGACACCACCGATAGATCATCTAGTTAGTAGTCTCTGACCTTCTGTTCATGCCACAATTTATATTTTTCTCCTGCTTTTCACTCCTGTCCCCATGCCATTCAGTTCCTTGGTCTATTGTTGTAGTGGAGCTTGAATATTCCCTTTTCTGTGGCAGGCCTGATTATTCCTTTGTTTCCCTCTAGGCCTCCTAGAAGAACGTGCCCTGCTGTTGGGTCGTATGGGGAAGCATGAACAAGCCCTCATTATTTATGTCCACATTCTGAAGGATACCAAAATGGCTGAAATGTAAGCCTCTCCCTCAATGTCCATTTTTTTGCAAGGTTTTTTTTTTAAATAGCTTCTCCAACCATTGCTGCTTCATGTCTCTGTGGGTGGGGTGGGGTTGTTAAATGTTATATGTGCACTTAGAACATGATAGGTATTGTAACCTTTTTGATCTCTCATACCTGCCACACTTGTTAGTTAGGATTCTCCCTGTGCGCCTTCTGATCACAGCTAGCATCCCCGCATTTCTTGGGGCTTGGCCTTCCCATGCTGTTGCATTTGTCAGTGCCTCAAGCCAAGTACCTGTTTCTTTACTTGGGCTCCCATCAGTCTTGAATAGCAGAGCAGTCGCTCACAGGCTTTTAGTTTTTCACCCTGTAATATAAGCACTTCCTGTTGTCTCTTAGCTTGTGCCCTATTATTACTTGTTGCTTTCTCTTTGTTTAGCTATGAACAGCTCTCATTAGGGTTAATATTAATCTTCTTCTGCAATATTCTTCCTTAATTAGAAGGAACTATGTTAGCAAGGAGATTCTTTTCCATTAGCAGTTGATGGTAGTTAAACAACAGCATGTTTATTATGATGGGGCCTAAGAACCAATTGAGAGTGAGGCCCCATTGTGCTAGCACTTCACAAAGACAGAACAGCGAACAGTTCCTGCTGTGATCTTACAATCTAAATAGACAAGACAGAGGCTAGGGGAAAGCATACAACACAAGCAGAGGAAGCACTGTCATAATTGTTCCATTTTTTTTGGCAGCAGGCAGGAGAGCGGGGTTAGTTGGGAAGGGCGGATAAGTTGCATAAAAAGAAAAGGGAAGGGTGGTGAGGGGGACGGGTATGGAGTGAAACTGAGGTTAAGAGACTGGGAAAATGTGAGGGCTGGAGCAAACAGGCAATCAGCACATGGCAGAGAAATTTCAGTCAAAACTGTGGAAAGTTCTCTGCATGACTGAAGGTCCCTGCCTTGGCTGCTTTTGCAGTTGCTCCTGTGGGCTTTAGTTCCTTGCAGCGTTCCTCTGCAGTTTTTCCCTGGGGTCTCCTGGTGAGGGAGAGGTCCCCATTGGAGTCCAGGTGGTGCTGTGGAAGGGGTGGCCCAGCTAGGGCCACATTTTACCCCCTCCCTCACTCCCATGCAGTAGTCCCTGCTTTGTCTGCTGCTGCAGCTGCTCCTACTAGGTGGAATCGATGGCTGATTCCTCTCTCTCTGTTTTTGAACAAATTCAAAGCATTTGGGTGAAAATACAACTAACCAGCACCTAGATATTGGCAGGTGTGCTTCAAAGGGTTTCTTTGTACTCCTCACTTAAAGTCGTCTCAGTTAATGTTGTTTTGTTGTTCTGATGATCAGTTAGGAAACATGCTCATTTAAAGTTGTGCAATGCTCCCTTATAACGTTGTTTGGCAGCCGCCTGCTTTGTCCACTGCTTGCAGGAAGAGCAGCCCATTGCAGCTAGCTGGTGGGGGCTTGGAACCAGGGTGGATGGGAACCCCCATCAGCTCCCTGCTCCCCTAAGTTCCCTGTGCGGCAGCCACCCAGCAGGCTACCAATTGCCGGCAGTTCAGCTGTCCCTCCCCCCGCTGCCATGTGCTGCTCCTGCCCTCTGCCTTGGAGCTGCTCCCTGGAGCCTCCTGCTTGCTGTGCAGGGTGGGGGGGAAGAGAGGGCTAATGTCAGGGTGTTCGCCTTCCCCCTGCTCCTGCATCCAGTTTACTCTATCTTCCATAGAGCGGTGGGGCGGGACACGACAGGGCTCGGGATGGAGGGAGCTTCGTGGCAGCAGCTGCCATTTCAACTTGCTGATCTACTTAAAAAGGCAGTGTACTTAGAGTGGGGTCAGCGTACTTAAAGGGGCAATGCGCATCTCTCTCACACACACGGTGTGTGTCTCTGTCTGCCATGCTATCTTCCTTCCCTCCATTCGTGCTGCCTTGTAGAGTGTGAGGCTACGTTAACAATGAGTTAATCCTTGAGGGCTCAGCCAATTGCTAGTTCATCATTTAGCAGTATGGCATTTCCTGGGAAATTTCCCACCCTCTGACTTCACCACCTCAACCAAGCTTCACAATCATCATTGCTGTGTACCAGTACTAAATTGTTTAAAACTTTGTGTGTGTATAATTATATAATTTGTCTGGTTGAAAAAAATTTCCCTGGAACCTAACCCCCTGTATTTACATTAATTCTTATGGGGAAATTGGATTCGCTTAACATCATTTCGCTTAAAGTTGCATTTTTCAGGAACTCATTCCTCACATTGCATTCCTCACTTAACATTGTAATTACTGTAGCTAGACATGGGGGCTGTTAAACCTAACTTTGTGCGTTCCTCTTCAGGTAACACCTATTGGGAGGCATTCACCCTGCTGTGTGTTGATCAGGCACCTCTTTTTTTTATATTTTAAATTCTGTTACCATTCATTGGCCTGTTACCCCAGGATTTATCTGTTTATTTCCTTGGCTGCATTGATAGTCAACCTAAGTCAGGTTTCTCAGATGTTTGTTTTTGTGTTTACACCCCAGAACTCAATTCACTGTCTATTTCAAATTTAAATATCTTGGACTGACACAAGTATTTTTAAAAAGTTTTAAAATCTCCCCTTTTTACCAGCATCACATAGTTGAGAATGAAAAGTGCCCCTCGTAAATGCTCTGCTCTACTTTTAGTACATGTTCTGTATTGCTGAGGCTGTCCAAATTGTTAATACTTATAGCTTGTGTGGATTTATTGGTTTACAAGACAGTCCCACGTTTCATTCACTTCACGTCTGTTGTAGGTACTGCCATAAACACTATGACAGAAGCAAAGATGGCAACAAAGATGTGAGTGGCTTTATGTCCATATTCTTGTTGTTGATGTGAGTGATATGTGAATTATAACTATTGTCTCCATATTCAGCCAATTTAAAGTAGACCTATGTTTGCTCAGAACTTCTCAGGGGCAGGGTCCTCTGTATCATCTTCTACTATTGAGGAACTTGTACATTTTTTCACAACTTCTCTCCTGTTTGGAATGTTGCTGGGTTGTAGGAAATGGCTGAACTTTTTCATTGGCCAACAATTCTGTTTTACAAGTAGGAATAGAATCCAGCTCTGTCCCTCTGGGCTGTGTTGATGCTGCTAACAAAAATAAAAAGTAGTAAAACTTGCTACTTACTAAAGACAACAGATGAGTCTGAATACACGCAACAGAGCTGTAGAATAAGGAGTTTCAAATTTTAATATCTAAAACTTGTTCTGTGCTGAAGGCTTGGAAATTAATCAATGCACAAACTTGTTCAGGAGACAAGCTGCTTAACGCTAATAGATTTTAAATCTGTATCAAAATCCCTACTTGCCAATGCCATGGTGTATTGCAGAATTAGCCCTGTAGCGGTTAGAGTTCAGTGGTGTCTGTTTGCTATACTTCAGTCTTTATTGTGTGAAACAGGTGTATCTGTCTCTGCTCCGGATGTATCTATCCCCACCTAGTGTTCATTGCCTGGGGCCAATCAAGATGGAACTGTTGGAGCCTCAAGCCAATCTCCAGGCTGCCCTGCAGGTTTTAGAATTGCACCACAGCAAATTAGATACTACCAAGGTAAGGATTCCTTCCTTTATAGGTGGTGGTATGGATAGTTGCTATATCTTGAATTACAATGAAAAACACAGGAGTTAAGGGTAGGCCCTGGGAGCAGATCCTAAAAGTATCTGGACCAAAAATAAATGGGACTGAGATTCATTTTATTCTTTTTCCTACCATATCCCTTCGTCTTTCTTACAACTTGTCCTTGTCCCTTCTAGGCTATAAACCTGCTCCCAGCAAATACTCAAATTAGTGAGATTCGAATCTTCCTAGAAAAAGTCCTTGAAGAAAATGCCCAGAAGAAGCGATTCAACCAAGTACTCAAAAATCTTCTCCATGCAGAATTCCTGAGGGTTTGTACCCACCTCTTTCATCCTCATTTATCAGAGTGAATTTTCAAAAGTTCTGTTAAATGGAAAGACAGTAAAAAATTGAGCTCTTCATTACCAGTACAGGAAACTTGTCCTCTAGATGGTGGTGTAGTGTAGCCAAGATTACTAAATGCACACTAATCAGCAAATCATAACTCTGGCATTTCAGGATAGAGGGAAACTAAAGGTAGTTTAAAAATACTATCCTTCTGTCTATTCAGACTAGAAAGGTGTAGCATTACATTGCTTACCACGTTTCCATTCTCCTACAGGTTCAGGAGGAGAGGATTTTGCATCAGCAGGTGAAGTGTATCATCACAGAGGAAAAAGTGTGCACTGTGTGTAAAAAGAAGATAGGAAACAGGTGAGTAATACTTCCTGGGAGAGCATTCTTCCTAAAGAGGCTGTGGTACAAAAACAAATTAGTCTGGCTTATTTTTGCAGAGCAGTAAGTATGTGTAAATCCAGGAGCGAACAACTGAGGGAGAACTTTCAGAAGTGTACAATGAATTGGAAACTGTAATCTTAGCAGAGTGGCTGGAAAAAATGCCAAACCTCTTGATGCCTATGATGAAAAAAAATGAACTGCAAAAATAACTTCTCTTGGATTTTCAAGCCTCCAGCATAGACCCAGTAAAGCAATTTCAAGTTTCATGAGGCTTTTCTTCCAAGATTGATGGAGCAAGTAGTTGATATGCTGACCTCACCTGAGATGTTGTCTGCAGAGCTCAGAACTCTGTGCAGAGTGGATGATAAGCACTATAAAAAGTTGTTTTCCATCCTGGAATCTGAAAGCTCTTTGTAAACAGGTACAATTGGATCCATGTGGAGTGGCTCTCATTGGGGTTAATTTAATTAATGGAGATATCCTATCTTCTGGAAGGGACCTTGAAAGGTCATCAAGTCCAGCCCTCTGCCTTCACTAGCAGGACCAAGTACTGATTTTGCCTCAGATCTCTCAGTGGTCCTCTCAAGGATTGAACTCACAACCCTAGGTTTAGCAGGCCAGTGCTCAAACCACTGAGCTATCCCTCCCTCCATTGCACCAGGTAGCTGGTGCAACCACCAGGGCAAGAAACCATTCCCCTCCCCCATCCATCCATCTGCTCTCTATTTAGGTAACAAGGACGCCACCCCGAGATTAAGGGCAGGGGAAGCAATTGCTAGTCACTTCTGCTTCTAGAAGAAAAAAGGTCCACAGCCCAGTAACAAGCCCATCTAAACATCCCATACACAAAACCAGCCTCCTGGTTTTGCACGTGGCTTCTTTATATAAATCTTTATAGGTGGTCTCTCAGTTTTGAAAGTATAATGTATATAATATACAGGCTTTGTAAATCTGAAACCTTAAGTATGGTGATGGCTACTTTGTGCCTCCAAAATCAACCTGTACCTTATGTGCCAATGACGCTAATACATCTGAGCAGCAGCAATGGTTTTATTTGTGTCAAAACTTCCGATAATTATTCTCCTCCCACCATTTTCATCCCTGGAGTTTTCAGGAAGAAATCAGGCTGATGTGGAGCAGAGACTTTGTTTCCTTCTCTCGCCCAGTTCAGTGCATCAGCTCCAAACTAAATCTTATATATCACCTAACAACCTTTAGCTATTGTTACTGGTGGTGGGATTAATCCCCTCTAAAACATGACTGATATTCAGAATATGGTGGGGAATAGATCTCTCTCTGCTTGCTGCTTTAATGAGCACAGTCAGCTGTCTCTGAGAGCACTGAATTATTGGTATGCATTGATCCAGTTTTCCCTGTTAAGTATGATCTTGAAGTACTGGGTGAAGGTAGGGTTAGTGTAAGCGTGCAGGATTCACCCCTGCAGCCCCTCCTGCTGGTCTCTGTCGGGAATTAGCTCTCCAGCCGTCGGAGCACCCTCTGCAGGCCGGTGATCCACCTTACCGCTGGCCACGTGTCCCTCCCAGGACCCCGGTACCCCTTTCTCTGGGGTGCTGCCCCTCTGGCAGTAACCTCAAATCTCAGGGTTTCCCTTCCCAGGGGAACCCCCATCCTCTATCCCCACCTCGCCTCAGTCTTAGCTACTGCTAGTCACCACTTCGCCCCCGTTCACCGGGGCAGACTGCAGTGTATCAGTCACTCATCACAGGCAAGGGGGGTTTGCACCTGCTGCTTCTACCGTGCCTACCCGTGGGCTGCCTCCTGCAACCCAAGTGCCCCCTTGTCCTTACCCTAGGCCTGCAGCCTGGGGCTTTCCTAGGCCAGAGCTCCCAGGCTCCCTTAGCCTTTCCCCAGCCCTGCTCCACTCTAGGCACTTGGTTAAGCTCCCTGCAGCCAGGCCCTTCTCTCTCTGAACACAGAGAGAGACTATCTGCTTGAGCTCCTGGTTCAAGCCTTTATAGGGCCAGCTGGGCCCTGATTGGGACGTGGCCCCAGCTGAGCCTGCTTCCCACTCAGCTTGGGCTGTTCTCCCAGCCCTCTGCCAGGGCTGGTTTTAACTGTGTCAGGGCTGGAGCGGGTAGCCACCCCCCTACAGTTAGTATAGACTATGTGCTTCGTTTTGGGAAAGTTGGTCATTTGGATCATACCAGACTTAGAAAAGTGATCATGTTAAAATCGCACTTTGTGGTTCCATGTTTGTATAGCAATTACTTCCAAATCAAACTTAGCTAACTAGCATTTTTGAGTCACGCTGCTGCAAAGTCCAGCTGAATTCTTTGCTTGGGACATCACCAATAAAACTGATGCTATAATTGAAACTTAGTCAGGAATTCTCTTCATTAAGAAAATAGCAGTCTTATGTAGTCACTTTTCTGACTGTAACAAAAATCAAACTTGTATAGTGAACAGGGAAAACTGTGTATTGATTATACTGACATTTGATCTTGTGTGCTATTCTGTTTCTTCACAGTGCATTTGCCCGATACCCTAATGCAGTAGTTGTGCACTACTTCTGCTCCAAAGAAGTCAGTACGGCAGACACCTGAAACATGTTGCCATACAGTAGATGGACTGCATTAGCCACAACACTCGCATGAAATACAGAAGTGAAGACTTGTTTGGGAAAATTGATGCTCTGGAGTTTTGAGGCATGTTGCTAGGAACATCTTACAAATAGCTTGTACCCAGCGTCTCTCTGGAATGACTCTACCTACAACTTGGCAGTACTGACTTATTCGAAAATTGACTTTTTAGCTGTTAAATTGCTGGCAACTATATATACCTCTTAACACACCAAGATGAGGAAGAATGGAAAATTGATCAGCAATGAGCTTGTATTGCACTCCAAACCTTGCAGCCTAGTTTCTGAACACTTCTATGGTGTTTACCAATGAGGGCATGTTTTAAAGTTTAAAAAAAAAAAATTCTATTCAGGTAAAAACTTCTTGATCTGACCTTGTTTGTGGCTCACTCTAATATTCCTCAAAAGGCAAAATCCTTGAAAAGTCACTGCAACTGTATTAACACTGTATTGAAATCTACTTTTATCCACCAAGTTGGGGGGGGGGAGGGAGCAAGCAAGAGGATGAGAGGCTCTTGTGCCTGATACTTGAACAATTGTCTGATTTCACCTTTCTCCCAATGTTGGGAATAACTAGATGTTGAACAAAGGAACGTTTATCTTTGATGCCAAGAGTGCTTATCAACTCCCCTTCTGATACACAGAAGTTCCACAGGAGTTAGTCACACACTATAGGCTTCACTGGTAAGCATTTATTTTCCCCTTTTTGACTTTAGTTTGTTAGAGGTATGTAAATATGAATTAGCTCACATACTGTTTGCACTGTGTACAGTCACTTCCAACATGAGTGGATACTTTTGAGAAGCAGCAACAACTATCTGAAGAAGGGAAGCTCTCACTTGCACTTGTACCAAAAAGAACACTCCCTAAAAGTAACACTTTTGACAGGGACTGAAATGTATCTCTTGCTTGAGCTTCTAGAGCACATTTGAGATCCCTATGTATGTAAATAGCTCTTCAGTCTCTAGTTCTCTCTCCAGCATTAAAGTAAAATATAGACTGCATTTCGATGTCTGAGGGCTTTAGATCAACTCCCTTCTGCCCAGGCTGGTATTGTGTTGGTTTTTTTGTTTTTTTTTTTAATTTTCCTTTGGCCTGAGGATTCTAAATACACAAAACTGGATGCAGTATACTACTTCTTAGTCTGTAATACTTTTGTTTTATTTTTCCATGAACTTTAATCTGTAGCAAAGTTGATATAAGGGTACTTGCATGTTCACTTACTGTACAGAGAATTTGAGCAGCAGTGAATAAAGGCAGCAGTAGAACATGGTTCAGTGTAATTGAATGTGGGTAATAACATCCCAGTTTAGCCATACTTCTATAATTAAGTATTAAATGATATGGAACATGGCACACTTATTATACACATTTTCTTTTAAAATCTATCATACTCCCCAAACAAGGAGTCGAGAAAATAAATTTTAAAAACAAACCCATCTGCCCAGGATGTCATTGAATTTCACTGTTTACATGTTTAAGACCTTTTTTAAAACACTTTTAGCAACAGGTCTTCTGTAGGATATAATTGATCCTACCTCACCTTCACATACCCTGGTTATATAGCCTGCTCCTTCTGCCATCTGTTTTTTGTTTCAAGGCTATGGTTGCCAATAACCTTGGATGTCTTGGGTAATACTGCTGGTGGTGCCTTTCTGTAGAGGTTTGGGGAGTTCCTATGCGGAGATGAAGTTACTTTTTTAACTTTCTATTTGAACAAGAGAACCTAATACATGCTTGTATTCAATTTGCACATATTCTTTATAGTGTTTATCTACTAGTTCAGGTACAAGAGGAAGATGTTTTGGGAGTTGACAGTGAAAGAAGGGTATCAAGGCCCTAGAGTTTTTGCATACAGAAGTCAAGATCTTTCTGATGGTAAGGAGGATAGGTAATTCAGACTATCTGCTGCCAGTAAATCTGCACTTTCTCACAGTTGGGGTCTGTAGTGTACTCTTCTTTCATGGTAAATGCTTATGTGCCTCTGTTCAGCTTTTTTGCATACATTTGCAGAGGTGTGGTTTGAGCTACAATTCTGCTGTCTGTTCTCATCCCATGGTTTAGATTTACTAGCCATATGGAAGTTTTGTTTAAAGCAATATATTGTAATAATAAATATTGTGAACCAGTCTGTTCATTTTATTGTGTGGATGATAGTAACTATCTGAGCTGCTCTGGATTTACATATTTTCTTTCCTTTGCACCTATAAGAGTCAGTGACACACAGTTGACATCCCCAGTATTTACCTGCTATTAGTCTTCAGAAGTCATTTCATGTTACTGAAAATAATGCAGGTGGCATTATCCTGTTTTTAAAAACCTGGGCCAAGGCCCATCTTTCTCGCCTGTTGGTTCCTGAACTTGAGCACCATCTAGAGAGCTGAGGCTCTACTATTCACTTGAATGTTTTAAAGCTCATATTTTCTATCCTTTGTTTTTTTTAATTATGCTTTGAAAGTTGCTCCCATTCAAGAGGCATTTGCTCATGTCAGACATTCATAACTTAATTACTGAAGTTATTTTCTTTGAGCAAGACTTTATATTTTTAGCTCTTGCTGAGGTCTACAAAACAGTTTGGGAACATAGGTTTAAAGCTGATATTTTCCAAGGTCCCACAAGAAATCTGTGGCAGAGCCAGAAATAGATAGAACCCCGATCTTCTGACTTCCCCATTCCAATGCCCTAGCCCCAAGACTATTCTTCCCCTCTGCCTTAACATTGATTGTATAATGCTATTTTTAACATGAAATAGACAGTATTTCTGTGGTATAGTTTTTACAGGTGAACATATGTCAAGGCATTGGGAGAGAAAAATACATCTCAGTCCTGTCAGGAAATGTAAAAGAAATGTGTTCTGAGAAACTTTTCTGTGTCTTCATGTTTTGTGTAAAGTTGAGTGTGCTGGTGCTTAAACTTGCCAGTATCCCTTGTAATCTTAATACTTCACATGCCTGTCCACAACGATTTCACTCTTGGTGCGCATGTGCCTCAGGCACATGAGATTGGATTCTTTTCGCCAGCTGTGTCTGTGGCCAACCTGCACCCTAAATGCCGTCATGCACCACCATCTAAGGCCAGAATGGGTCCAAATATGCCTCATTTGCCTGTACAGGTTCCATCTTAGTGCTAGAAGCAGTAAAAGTGTCTACTTTGCACACTGCCAATTTACTTACCCTTGTATATAATAATGTAGTTAGTATAGTTGGCGGCAGTGTAGTTAATGAAGTTCTTTTTTGTGCTTGGCAAATGTGTATATATATTTCATATACTGTACATAGATAAGTTTTAGTTAACCCAGGCCCCTCCTGTACAGGTATACTAGCATCATGGCAGACGCTAAGTAGCCTCTTTTATATGCTTTGATGCCCATTAATGACAGGCACTCCACATGCTTGCTTTGTCTCTGAGAATGTCCCAGAAAGCTCTTCCATCTTGCATTTTCTCCAAGCATACCAGAGAGCAAGGGATTTGAGGCTGAAACTTTTCCTCCTATAGAAGTAGATGCAAACCTTCTCAGACGCAGAGGAGCGCTACAACCAGGACTCAGTCATCGTGTCTGTCTCTTAGAGAGCTGTGATTCCACTCCAAGCTCCCATTCTGTATCCACTCAGGCCCTATTTATCCACCATTATATTGGTGTCTGTCTGACAGACAAAAAAGAGCACCAAGCCAAAGATGAGCTCAGATGCAAGCAAGAGACAGGGTCGTCACCTGCGTAATTTCTCAGGCTCATACATCTAAGAGCTATAAGCCTGAGAAGTTCCAGGACTGACAGCCAAGGCAGCTTACATGGTACCCTCTAAATTAGCTGATCACACTGCCCTCGGTAATGACTCCTCTGCACTGTGTGTATATTGTGGTCCCAGTACTGATTGCTCTGTGGTATGCTCTGCCTTCATATTATCTTGGCACTGAAACCTTATCCAGTGTTGAAGGACTTTTTGATAGGCCTGATACTGGAGTCACCTCTAAGTGAAAACAAAGAGTTGATTTCCAAACCACCAGCCTTGGAGTCACCAGCATGCCAGGCTAGAGAGTTGTCTCCGTACCAACATCCATGATACAAAAACAGGATATAGCTGACAGGATTGCCCCTCCCTTAGGGGATGTATACTGTTTCCTCCTCTTCTGCTGAACACAGCAGAGAATCTTCTACGTGTCTACCACCCCCTTACTGGGAGTCAGGGAGTTTTTCTAGGAGAGAGTCCATGTGGGGTAATAGAGGCCTGGATTTCATAGGGACCACCATATGCTCCGACCTCACTACTCTGGCCCATTTGTGTTGTGGTATTACTGGACCTCCTGGGATGTGTAACCTTACTCCAGGAAGCCTGCTTCTACTGTTTCCATGGCTAGGTCACTTCCTCAAAGAAAAGCCACTTCAGATGAGTGTGTTGGTCTAGTCACAACTTCAGAGGCAGGAGAAGAGCAGCCAAACCCTGTTGGAATAGCTGTCTCCTCACTTGAGACTGTGAAGCCATCTACCATTGGCCTCAGCTGATGAGTTTTAAGGTATTCTAGGACCTGAATCTGGTGAAATGCATGGTGGAAATCTTTTGCATCACTTTCAGAGATATGCCTGAGAAGTGGCATAAATTTGCCCACTTTGAGATGCAGTGGGAGGGGGTGGAATATGATTGAAAAGTGGGAATTTGGGATGGTATTCAACCAAAACATCTGCAGGGAAATTGTATCACATCTGTGCCTAAACTTAGTGATGTGGAAACCTGCAGTGGGAAAGTGTGCACCCCAGAATCCCCTTTGTCTACCCCAGATGAAGAGAGAGGGAACAGGGAAGAATGATTTCCCTGTATTGGAGGGCAGGGACACACATTCCCAGAGTCGGGGGAGACGGGGTCAGCTGCTCTTACTGAGGGAGCCTCCAAATCAGCTGGAGACAAGTAGCGTTTGTTAAAGATCAGGACACAGACCCTTCCCAAGGGGAGTGCATTAGGAAGTCAGTTCACAGCAGTGCCCTTACAAAGGAAAATAGGGGTGTCTTTTTTTTTTTATGGAACCAGGTAGGATATACAGGGAAGCCCCAGTGGTCGAGAACAGGGACCATATGGAACCCCACAAACCGTTCTTGGTGAGCAGTAAATACAGGGCAGTGTTAGTGTTTAGCCCATGACTGTCCATTTTCTGGACATCTAGGAGTAGAGAGGACATTTGAAAGGCTTCAGAAAATGTTTTTTTGCATGGTATAAATCTAGTAGTAAAGGAATACTGACCATGGTGCCCATCCTTATTATACAGGAGAGCTACGTAAATATAAGCACAACCTTGTGTGGGCCAAACAAATCTTACTACAATATGTAGAATCTAAAGT